TTATTGTAAATATGAAAACTAATTCGGAGACATTTTAGTTCAACACACCGCAGACAATATTTTCAGTTTTCATTTTCATTCACACTCCGTGACAGGATGTAAATATATGATAAGTACTAATTTAACAACAATTTCACGGACTCGTCATGTCATCACATCAATATAAAACACATTAATATAAGTTTAAATGTATGTTTATATTGATTTACAAAGCCTTTACAATCTTCAATCATTAATTTAAGTGTTTTTTTTGCATTTTCGGTTTATTTATTTTGTTTGCTGTCAGTGCAGTTAAATACTTTATTTGTGTTGTTCCAGTTGTTTATTTTCATTACATTTGTATTGGTCATTTTCAGTCTGAAACAAATGTCTAAAAATAAAACATGCCAAATGCCATTCCTGACAGTACAAATAAAATACAAAAAAATCATCATCTAAAAAGAGAATGTTAATATAATATGACAATTGGAAATGTAAATACATTAGCATTGTCTTTTCATTTGTTCCTATTAATTCCTTCTATGTTTCTTTCCATATGTATCGGGTGATTTACATGTAAAATCTTTCGAATGTTTGAAATTTAAAGTGTTATTTTTAATTGGTCTTGGACGGGTGAGCGACGATGGGGGAGGGAGGGGGGGCAGCTGTGTGGTTGCTAGTGGGGGCGGATTAGGGGGAGAAGACGAAGAAGAAGAAGAAGAAGGAAAAGGGAACCACAATCGGAGCGCAGACCTCAGACCAGCTCGTCTCATCTCACCAACGCGGCGGCCCACTCACAGAACTGACCGCAGATCAGCGCTTCCTCCAATACCACGACTTTACACGAGCCGGGAGTGAGAGGAAGCGGTGTTTGTCCGCAGCCGAAGACGCTTCCAGCAGCAGCGGCAGAGCACGGCGAGGGAACGGACGGACGAAAACAGGAGAAGCCACTGGAAACAGAGACAGAGGGAGGCTGGTAGGAACGAGAGAGAGAGAGAGGACAGCTTTTACGCAGACTCTACGGTTAACCTTAACAAAGAGAGAGCGGCTGCCGAAAAGCGGAGAAAAGGAGTGTTAACGCGAATTAACGCGAAGCCAATTATTTCCAACATTTTCTATTATTGGCTGCGGGAGGAGTGCTTCTCCCGGAGCCACATTTATAGGCAGAGCTAGCGGAATGTAATGCTAACGAGGCAGCTAGTGTTAGCAGGCTAATTAGCTCGTTAGGCATCCAGGAGTCGGACAGTGATCTTTATTTTTTATATAGGTCACCGTTCAGCGTGGCTTCACTTTTAGGGGAAAACACCGAGGTCGGTGTGTTGAGTGTAGGAACCTTACGCGGTCACAATGATGTGCCTGGAATAGCTAAGGCTAAGTTAGACAACAAAACTGTATTAATGTAAATCTATTCAATATTTTCTACGTCTTCGCGTAAAGCCACATCCATTGTTAATAAAGCGCCGTGGACAAACAGAAGGGGGAGAAAGAAAAAAACAAAACAACAACTATATCCAAGAGACTTTTGACTGGAGACTGGTCTGCCGTCCAATGTTAATGTCGACCGACGTCGCATCTATAATGTTACCCGTTAGTCGGGGAATAATGGACCGGGAAAGAGACATTGACACAGCGGCCGGACCCCTCGCGAACGCGCCCGGGGGTCCAGCAGCTGTCCGCGGGATGAAGCGCGGAGACCCAGAGCCTGACGCTCAGACAGCCGCTGCCTTGACTGATTTACCCGGGGCGGAGTGCAAGAGACCCAGGATAGACGGCACCGGGACTGTTGTTGGTGACATTGGGCAGGTAGGAATGAAATGTAAACACACACACACACACACACTTCCATGGACATTTACACCACAGCGGCACAGCTTTGTCTATTTTTAGTTTTTTTATTTTTTATTTATTTATCTCAGTTTTTAATGAGTATCAGCCTCTTTCTTTCAACCCCCTCACCATGAAGCTTTTGTTCCTCAGCATCAGCAGGGATGATGATGATGGTGATGATGATGTTTTGATAGGGTTCCTCTCTCTCTCTCTGTCTCCACCTCTATCTCTCATCAACAACATAATCATGCATCATTGCAGCAAAGGGTGAACTCTGTCACCTTGACTCAATATATGATTCCCGTCTTATGAACCAGACCAACAAGAAAAAAGAAAAAAAAGTTGGTGATTCATTGTGTGTCTCTGTGCTAACTGCTGCTGCTGCTGCTCCTGGAGCTGTTCTCTGAGCCAGCATGACAAAGCCAGACAAAGGTAATATGATACAGACTCCATTGCTATGACAGACAGCAGCACAGCTAAGATCAGACTCATTCATCATTCGTCTGCGTGCCTTCCACAAAGTAAACCCGGTGCTTTTTTTGTCACATGTTGGGAGGCACGCTGTGTCCTTTTTCCCCTTATCTTCTTCTTCTTTTTTAATTAAATTGAATTGAACGTTTCCTCCGAGCGCTGATTAAAAAGAAATCGCATCGGGGTCAACACATTAAAACCCTTCACACACCGTGCATCTGTCATCAATCGCTCTCGTACCTCGCACCCTCCTCACCCCCTTCAAATTGGGGCTAGGTGTTAAGAGAGAGAGGCAGACGACGATTGGGGGAGGGGTCACCCACGGAGGAAGACAAAGAACAGAGCCTTTTGGTGTAGGCTCAAGGAGCGAGGGGGCTCAGGGGGCCCTCTCTCCGACACGGGTCTCCCCGTGTTTTCATGACTCCACTGCTGAGGCAGCAAAGCAGCGACGGCCATCACTGTCTGTACCAGACCCACATGCCTATATTACATTAAATCAGGTCATAACTGAGGCATGGGGTGCACCCCGCTCACTTTCTCTCCTTGGATTTGTTATTGCTTTTTTTTCTTCTCTCCCTCCCCCTCTCGCTCTCGCTCTCTCTCTCTCTCTCTCCGTTTCTCTCCTGTAAAGCACATGCCCTGCACATTCTTTTTTTTATTTGATCTAATATTCCGTCCCGTGCCCATTTTGCAATAGCACAGAGAGAAAAACATTTTTGTTTTTTAGCTGAGGTGTGCTGTTTTAGCAACACTAATGGCAGTTGAAGGGCAGCGAGACCGGGTCTGAGGTCATCCGCAGGTAATTGAATCGCACAGAACTTGTATGGTCCTTTGTATGGCTGCGTAGCTTCAATGACAAACATTGAACCCCGTGTAATGCTGTGTTTCTGTGCGACGACGACGGATGTCGACGAGGGTGAAACGTTATAGTCCGTCGGCTGAGATGATGTGACTATGGGCTGCCTGGCGTGGGCAGGAGTCTTGCTGGCCATCAGTCGTATCGATCGACGGCACTGGTGGGGGGGGGGGGTGGGGGGGGGGGGGGGGGGGGGGGGTGGGGGGGGGGGCG